AGTTAACCTTTGCACTTGACAGAGATAAAGAAGAGCTTAGGGTGATTCACAACAGAAATTAAATGTGTTCAAAAGTTTTAACCATCCAGAATCCACATGTTCTGTACATCTACAGTAGAGTCCTGCACGGGTCCCTTTTGAAAAATCCATACGCACAAAGATATGGACTGGACTTGCCCATTACCTGCAATTATTATTATCTTCAGGCCAAAAGCAAACACGCCCAGACCTGTTAACACATGACCTGCAACCTGACCTGTCACCTGTGATTAAACACATGTGCTTCATACACAGTCACTTGCATCAACTGATCTCCTTGTCCTCTCATTATGGTGGGTGAGTTGTGTTCTTGGAAAATTATGTGTGACTTGTCGCAACACCTGTCAATGTGTTTTTTCCATGACAATGTGCCTAGCTTGTGGCTAATGTGGGACTTTTTACAAGCAGGAAAGCTACTGAGAAGGAATTCACAACTGGCTAATTATATCTTAATGCCATTCATTTTGATGTTCAAGTTTGTTTTCGGTGTTGGAAGCGACAGTCATTTGTAAAGTTAGGTGAGAGGCCAAAGGAGGTGTCATAGGTTTTAACAATAAAACAAATCCCAGCGGCTGACTCAGCTTCAATGAGCCAATTTATTATTTCTTTTCTGATTTCTCAAAAACAAAAGAAAAGTTCCCAGCAGCTTCCCGCCTTCAGTTAATTTTTACCCGTACCCGACACGGTGCAGGACTCATCAGAATTGTATATTATGTTCTTGTCTTACTTAGTTAAACTGAATGTTTAGGAGCACGGCAACTCATCTACACCACATCACACTAATCATCTAAATTCAAAGCAAAATAGGACACACAGGGTCACATCGCAGTTCATTTACCTGCTGAACGAACCACAACCAGCTGATTTTGGCAGAGTTTTGCAACTGGGGTGAGTAAAGAGACTGTACCTGAAGTGTTAGTGGAGGAGATGGGCAATGCCTGTTAGTGAAGTTGGGCACAGGCAGCGGAGGAGGTCAGGGAGTAAATAAAAAAGAGAATGGTTAAAGGCTACCTGAGATTTTAGATGAGGGCTGAGTGTTGATGGCTGATGAGTCTGCGCACAACTCCATTTGAAACTGCAGCTGCTCTTCAGTCTCACTGCATCCTGAAAGGGTACAAACACAATCAGCCAGGTTTCTTAAGCTGCATCCACATCAATACGTTTTCATTTTATAACATKTTTGTGTCAGCAAATAAATGTAGCAACAGTAATRCATTTTAAAACTGAGTCAAAATAGATAAATCAGCAACTCCTCCAAARGCAACCTTTAACCAGACAGACCTTTGGTAAAAGGCTTGTCTGCTGGCTTCTCTAACGCCTGGTCCCTGTCGAACGTCATGGCAACTGCTGTCACTGCGACCTGGGGGGCAGACAGAGAGGCGTGGAAGTAAACTTTACTTAATATCCAGTTTTATCCAATGCAGGCTGAATATTTCGTTTAGTATTGAACGTATTTGATGATCCGCGACACAGCTTTGGGCACGTTACTCACACAGCGGTCTGCGGACAGACAGACAAATGCATAATGATATTATGCCAAAACGTTGAATATATGGAATTAAACTTTGAATATATACATTTGTCTGTCTGTCCAAAGACCGCTGTGTGCCCAAAGCTTTGTCGCGGATCATCAAATACGTTCAATACTAAACTAAATATTCAGCCTGCATTGGTCTATGAATGTGGGTGATTCTTATTGTATCTAAACAAATTATGAAGAGCTTCTCTTTCAGTTCACGAAATCCCTGTAGCCGCAGCAGCTTTGCCAGTGCCGGAGAAGTGCCGCATCAGAGCGGAGTGCCATTACGCACGGCCCTTCACTGTGTTTTACCTTCATTAAATCACCTGGAAACTATATCAAGCTGACCATAAAGTGTCTTGGGCCCTTTATTGTGTACGGGTGGAGATTGTACACTGGGTGTTGTGGGGCTCTCCTGTGAGGTTGAAGACATGCTGAGGTTGGCCTGATAAACAGCTGCATGTTGTAGTAGGTCTGCCACGATTAGAAACGGAGCGAACTTCCTTGTCAGTTGAACGGTATTGGGCGGGGCTATCCGGGGGATTTTGGGCCGTACACGCATTCGCCAGTGTGTTACTGATGTCCTCATAGTTTAATATTGCTGCAACGAGATTGTGAGCGGACTAACTCATTGTCACTCACTTTTAGCTATAGCATCCACACATTAAACAAGATGGCTGCAGGCACTGCGGTGAAGTCTGACGTCAGTCAAGTTTCAATCCATATATTCAAGATTTCATTCAATATATTCAGACTTCATTCAATATATTCAGACTTCATTCCATATATTCAAGGTTTCATTCAATATATTCAGACTTCATCCAAAATATTCAAGGTTTCATTCCATATATTCAGACTTCATTCCATATATTCAAGGTTTCATTCCATATATTCAAGGTTTCATTCCATATATTCAAAGGTTTAATTTCCTGAACGGCATGCCA